GAGAGAGGGGAGAGGAAAGGGAAAGGAAAGAGAGAGAGAGAGAAAGAGGAAAGAGAGGGAGAGGAAAGAGGCATACAATAATTCATTTGCATTTAATTGTAATGGTTCAAAGAATGTTTGGAAAAATGTTCGGCCCTCCAGCACGTTCACTTCATCCAATCTGGCCCTCTTTGAAAAAAGTTTGGACACCCCTGCCCTACACCATTTCAGACAAATGGCTGTCCAGTCTCTTCTTAAAAACTTCCAGTGTTGGAGCATTCACCGCTTCTGGAGGCAGGTGGTTCCACTGGTTAATTGTTCTCACTGTCAGGAAGTTTCTCCTTAGTTCCAGGTTGCTTCTGTCCTTGATCAGTTTCCACCCGTTGCTTCTCGTCCTGCCTTCAGGCGCCTTGGAGAATAGCTTGACTCCCTCTTCTTTGGGGCAGCCCCTGAGATATTGGAACCCTGCTATCCTGTCCCCCCTCGTCCTTCTCTTCGTTAAACTAGACAGACCCAATTCGAGCAACTGTTCCTTATATGTTTTAGCCTCCAGTCCCCTAATCATCTTTGTTGCTCTTCTTTGCACTTTTTCCAAAGTCTCAGCATCTTTTTTGTAAGATGGGGACCAAAACTGGATGCAGGAGTCCAGGGCGTGGCCTTACTAAGGCTTTATAAAGCGGTTAGTCAGGCTTTGGGGGGATTCCAAGCAGGCTTTTATCCCGCTTCCCAAAAGAAAACTTGGGAGATTCTACTGATCCTCACCAGGGACCCTTGTTTCCAGGGGTAAGAAACTAAGATCCCTGAATACCCCCTCTCCACCTCACCCCCAAGAGTCCCCAAAACCAGATCAGCCTTTTCCGCTATGTGGAAGCAGTGTCTCAACCCAGCATCTCCCTCTGCTGGTGAAGAGAGGAACCGCAACCATAATCTATATAAATAAAAATGTAAATGTTTGTTTGTTCAAAATCTTAAATCTCCGAAAGTTCTTCACCGATTGCTTTGAAATTTTGACACAACGTTGCATTCGAATACACGCGTGTTTTTATATACCTATATTATATAGATGTCACACCTGTGACAGGTAAAAACATGCTTTCTTTGAAAAACAGCGCCATCTGTTGGACGTAAAAGCAACACACGCTTTTACCAGACTGAGCCACAGCAACGCATGGCTGGGTACAACTAGTAATATAACAAAGAGCTGGAAGGGACCCTGGAGGTCTTCAAGTCTAAATTCTGTGAGGGAGGGGGTTCTCCAGAAGTTCTGCGATGGTTCTGAAAACCCCTCAGCTCCTTCTCATCTCAGTTTCCTTCTAAGAGGGGGTGCCCCAACGCTGGGGGAGGAGGGGAGCACAACCATGAACAAAAATCTCCTTGAGAACTGGGGGTGGGGATGCAAATGATTGACATGTAGACCCCCACCCTGTGATGCTTGAGAACCCCAACACCAGCGGGCTCCAAGGCCCAACCAAACCCAGGATCCCAGGAACTGGACATTCCCTACTAGGGCCACTCCACAGCTCTCTCTTTTGGCATCGCCAACTCTTGTGATTTACATTCAGATGCTTGGCAACTGATTCATATTTATGACGGTCACAGTGTCCCAGGGTCATGTGAAGTGACCAAAACCTGCTGCAACCACCCAGCAGACGGGGGGAATAAAAACCAAACATCCCCCCACCCCCGCTGCCAATCCCCAACAGAAATGCTCACAACAATGAAAACCTCGGACAGGAGGAAGAGCGCGGCCAGGCGGGCAGGCAGGGGTCTTGCTCGGCTGTGCCTTGGGGGGCACTTTTTTCAGTGCCATTGTAACTTCGAACAGTCACTAAGCGAACTGTTGTAAGTCGAGGACTACCTGTACTTCATCACTTTTTTCCTTTTTTGGGGGGGTCATCAAGTTTTTGACACCTTGCTAGGCGACTGGTGGTACTCGGATGTTGCCTTATCCTAAAAGTGGTACAATGGGTGAAAAGGTTGAAAAGCCCTGATCTAGTCCAACCCCCTGCTCAGATAGATACATGGATATCTATCTATCTATCTATCTATCTATCTATCTATCTATCTATCTATCTATCTATCTATCTATCTATCTATCTATCTGTAGGTAGGTAGGTAGGTAAGTAGGTAGACAGACAGACAGACAGACAGACATAGAGATATGGACAGATTGATTGATAATGGATAGAGATGGATAGATATGGATGGTTAGATATGGATAGATGGATAGATATGGATAGATGGATAGATATGGATAGATGGATAAATATGGATATCTATCATATAGATGATGATAACGATGATGATGATGATGATGATGATGATGATGATAATAATAATAATAATAATAATAATAATAATAATAATGTTGGAAGGGACCTTGGAGGTCATCTAGTCCAACCCCCTGCTCAGATAGATGCACGGATATCTATCTATCTATCTATCTATCTATCTATCTATCTATCTATCTATCTATCTATCTATCTATCTATCTATCTATCTATCTATCTATCTATCTATCATCTGTAGGTAGATAGATACATACATAGATAGATAGATAGATAGATAGATAGATAGATAGATAGATAGATAGATAGATAGATAGATAGATAGATAGACATAGAGATATATAGAGATGGATAGATTGATTGATAATGGATAGAGATGGATAGATAGATATGGATGGATATAGATATGGATAGATGGATAGAGATGAATAGAGATGGATAGAGATGGATAGATGGATAAATATGAATAGATAGATAGATAAATAGATAGATATGGAGAGAGAGAGAGAGAGAGAGAGAGAGAGAGAGAGAGAGAGAGAGAGAGAGAGAGAGAGAGAGATGTATGGTGGACACATAATTAAACTTACTTTGTCCTGATTCAGAAAGAAAGAACGCCAGAGAGTCAGGAAGAGAGGCACACCCTGAGGTAAAAGGAAACGACACACAAAACACACGGACGAAAAAGGCGGGAAACAAGGGAAACAGCCCCTTTATACTTGCGGCAACCAATCACAGGGTAGATTGCCTTGCGCATGAGCAGGCAAGACAGTCGGGAAGACTTGGCCCAGCCTGAGGTAAAATGAAACGGCGTACGCGGGAGCGCCCGGCAGAAAAAGGCGGGAAAAAGAGGGGAACGCCCCCTCCGCAACCAAACCCAGCGTAGGTCGCCTCCTGCACGAGCCCGCCCTCCCTCCCAAAGGACTCGAGCGCCACTGCATCGCCCTCCCTCCCGCCCGAAGCGCCTCTCAGTGGCAGCCGGGCGAAAGCGAAAGCGAAAGCGCCGGGGCTGCCGGGGCTGCCTGGAAATCAGGTGATGGAGAGGAAGGGCCGGCAGGAGCCTCCGCCCAGCCAGGGGAAACAGGCGGGAGAGAGGCCGCGTCTGCCGTCTTTCTCCAAGCAAAAGGGCCGCTGTGTCTTCTGACTGTCTGCCCTCCCTCGCCTGCCACAGTCAGCCCGGCTCCCTCTGCTCTTTGGAAGCCGATTTGCTCTCTCCCTCTCTCTTTCTTCCTTTGTCTCATTCCCTCTCTTCTTTCTCTCTCTGATTCTCTCCTCTTTCTTTCTCTCTCGTTCCCTCTCTTTCTCTCTCTCTGATTCTCTCCTTAATTTTAACTCCCATTATAAATCTATGTGCTAAATATTAAAAAAAAAACATTATCTCTACAAAGCTGCTTTACCCATTAAGTAGATTTTTAAATCCCATTTTTAAATCTGACTCTGGCTTTCCTTTTGTGCCAAGTAGGTTTCCATGCCAGTGCCTCTAAAACCTCAGATGTATCTCCATTCGTACACCTGTTGTTTGAATCAAGGGAGAACGTCCAGTTATCAGTCTTTCAAAAGAACTGGCCCCTTTGTAATTGTTAAGTTGTTGCCCTAATAATTCAAATCTCCATGTTTGGTTTAGGGTATGTATAGTCGGTTCAGTAGTCTGGTCCTCTTCTTGCGATTTCATCTGAGTAGAATAGAGAGTCATATCCGGTGTTGTTGTTGTTTGGTTATCTAAAATGTCTAAGTACTCTTCTTTTGGAGTTACAGGTGCTGTAGTTAAAGTCATCTCAGCCAGTTGTGCATATTGTATGAAGACTTCTTTAATGTTAAATTGTTCATCTTCTATTATTTTTGGGGTTATAGGTTGATCAGTTTGAGGTTCAATTTGTAATTTTGTAAAAATGTCTTTGGCTTTCACTCCTGAAATGATTAGCTCTGTTGCTTCACGGATTTTTTTCAAGGATAAGTTTGTAATTAAGTTGTGGATAGGATTCATCCATTTCCATGGTGATTAAAGATAGTCCTTTAGTGGAGGCTATGTTTAGTAAGACTCAGCTGTTGTCCACTTCCACAATTTGTAAGAATTATTGTCACCACCGTTGTTTCTATGTCTTATCTTTTTTGATAGTATGAAGGACAAATCGAAGTAATCAACAAGCACAACTGAAAAGAAATTCCAGTTGCTTTGCCAAATTTTGCCGCAAGATGTCCCCAGCAGATCACAAAATCTTTTTCCAAATGCCGAATAGCCTCTTATTCAGTTAACACACACAAAAAAGCCGATATTTTGCAAAGTTAATAGTTAAAGAAGTTTAAAAAATGCTAAGTCTCTATAAAAAAAATACCCCAAGGTATCCACAAAACAAAGATCCAATTATTTGGTTGTTGAAATTAGTAGTTCTTTCTTTTTCTTTCCAAGCTGTAAAATCCCACGTAGGCAAACGTTGCTGAATTGAGAGCGGGGGAACGAATTTCAAAAGGCTTTCACAGGAAGGTAATTAGGGAAAAAGAGAGGTAAAAAAGGATCTCACCCAAATCCTCCACTTCTGCTTTGTATGCTTAGCTGTTATTGGGGCTTTCGGCTGGTGCGACTAACATGGCCGATCTTTTCTTCGTCGGTCCTAGGGAGTTGCCTTGGATCAAACGGAAGGGCTACTGCCCTTCCGCGATCTTGCGAGGGTCCTCCCCAACGGTGGTCGCCCCTGCAGGGCGACTTTTGACCCTTTGCAGGGTCTTCCAACGAAGGGAAACCAGACAGCAGGGAGAAGCTTCCCCCTGTACGTTCGAAGGCGTCGCGTCTGGAACCGGAAGTCCGGGGGGAGGATTTCTAAGAGAAGCTTCCACCTACTGATGTTCTTTCGGGACCTCCAAGGTCCAGGTTATAATCTTCGTTTCCGGCGTGTTTAACGAGTCAAAGAAATTCTTCATGCTCTCCGTGCTCAATTTCCAGAACATTTCAGCATCGTGATGGCTTCTGCCGCTTTCCTGAAGATGGTTAGCAAAAAGACTGGAAAAGATAATTCTGAAGGGCAGAGGGATTCCCGAGTCGTCCTGAGCACACGGCAGGTCAGTCTCCTTGACAGCCTCCAGGACGGGTGGGGTCCCCCTATCTGAACAGGCGATTGGGGGTTGGAGGCTATCCTTTAGGTCTTTTCCCAACATGGAAAGCATGGTATCAAATATAGATTTCTGGGCGCAAGTTGAATGGGCAACGACAGCTTTGGTCACAAAACAGATAGCATCGAAACAGTCAACTTTCAAATTATCTCGGATCTCCTGCTCAACCATTTTCTGCTCTATGTGTGTTGGGACAAGTATTGTAAGAGAATAGGGAATTCGGAAACCCTTTTGATGGTGCACCACGCACGCATTGCATTCAAATATGTTCCTTCCAGCTTTCTTTCTCCAAGTGGTTTCATCAATCAGTCTGAATCGGAAATGATGTTCCCACTGGACACCCAGGATATAATTGATCATCCCGTTGATCAGAGCGGTTTTCCCAGACTCTGTTGCACCCATCACCAGGATCGCTTTGTTGGGCACTTCCTTGTTCTCCTCTCCAAGGTGGTAGGTGGAACAGGGTACGGAAGGATCTGAGGGGACTTCCTCCAGAGGAAGTTTGAACACTAAAGGCTGTCTGTCCTCCACCAGGGAGCTTTCCTGAAGGAACTGGTGGGCTACGTTTTCTGCGTCTTCTTCCTCCAGTGATGTGGAGACCTCCACCTCCTCACTGGGGACACTAAGCACTCCATTATCACATACGGCGGACACCCGTACTCTATACGCCGTCTGGGGCTTCAGATCTCCGATGGAGTAAAACTCTGTTTTTCTCCAGGTCCTTTCTTCACGCCACTGGTCATTTCCACCTTCAACCTCCACCGTTCTGTATTCCACCTTGTACTCCTTGACCACAACTCCTGAGGCAACAATGCAGGGACTCATCCAGGTGACAGTGATGACAGAAGATGCTGCAGTTACCTTTTTTAATTTCTCAGGAGGGCCGATGGGAAGGGTCTTAATGGGTGGGCTCAGGTCACTAAATTTACTACGGCCTGGCTTGCAACAGCAAGCATACTGGAACTGGTACTCTGTGTTTGGAGGCAGATCTTTCAGCAGGAACGTCTCCCCGGCGTCTTCTGTCCTCACGGTCTTCCAGTTTTCGTCTCCCGCAAGCTTGTAGTCTACCAGATAGCTGGAGATTGTAGCCCTCCCATATTCAGCAGGCTGAAACTTCAGTTGAATGCTATCATGTCTCAGTTCGCTAATCTGCAAAGGGAGAGGTTTTGAGGGCAACTCAAAGTTCTTGCTGATCAGCTCTCCATCTTCATAAAGGTATATTGAGGCTCCTGGAGTCTCCACGTCTGGGAGTGAGACCACAACAAAGCGGACATTCTCATTTGATTGGTTGACACTGAAAAAGTTTTTGATGGATTTGGCAGTTCGGCGAGCATTTTGGGTCTTCTCCTGGTCCTCAAACCATTCCATGCCTTTCTTCACCCCAGGAGTGGACCTTGTGGACTTAGCTGATCCTGGCAAAAAGTGCTCCTGAAGCCAGTCCTGTAAGCTCAACAGAAACGGCTCCTCTTCATGTAAAGAAGTCAATGTAAAGGAAACGACGTATACATTCTGGGGGTGAAGAACTATCTCTTCCAGCTTGTTCTTGGATGAGATAACTTGTATTTCACTTAGAATGGTCAGATAAGATCTGACAATGTTAATTTCACTTTCCTTGGCGTCCAGAAATTCGTGGAGTCTTTGGCTGTTGAAGGGCGACTGCTTGACGGACGTCAAGATGTCCACCAGGGTCCCTTCCTCCTGCCCTCCACCCCGGATGGAAGGCAACACTCCGGCCAGCTGTTTCTGGAAAGTCTCTCTGTGTTGGTTGCACAGATCCTTGAACTGTTCGATCTTCTTCTTGATTTCCGGCAAGTCCTCAGCAATGGGATGGTTGGCTAGATCATTGCTTTGCATCTCCGTTTCGTTGAGGTCCTGCATGACTTTTTGAGTTTCAAAAGTCAACGCTAGGCTGATCTCACGGACCATCTTAGCTGCTCCGCTGTCCAGTTTGGTCAGTGGGTAGAGCCAGACCTTCATAGGCACAGCCTTCTCCCCATCTTTCCCTAACGTTTTTGGTAGAGTTTCGTAAACTTTGATGGCATCTTGGAAAGTGACTGGATTTCTCTCCAGAGAGAAGTCTCCGTGGAACTTGCACTTGAACCTCAGAGCATTCTCTTTCTCCTCCTCATTGTATTTGACCTTTGCTTCTCCTCCGATAGATATTTCCTTGGTGAGTGTCGCCTGGAGACTTCCTTGTATATCTTTTACTGTCTCCCCTGAAGAAACTTCTCGGTCAAACACGAAGAACGCCTGGGCTCCGTAGAGGATGGCGGTGACCACGTGGGTGGCCGTGCCATGCTCAAAAACTGCTGGGTAGGAGACATTCTGGATTCCGAGGTGGCTCATGGTCAGCTGCTCGTACCTGGTGGTGGTTTTGTACTGGACGGTGACTCTGGCCTGTTGCTTGGACTTCTTGGTGTCCTGAAGATACTTGGCTGAACCCCCCACTTCAACCAGCTTCCCCAGGAAACTGGCCTTGAGGTTTGCTGAGATGTCCAGGGCGGAGGCCTTGTTATCAATGGTGTCGGACGCCATGATTTCCGAATCTGTATTGGGCTGAGGCCTGATGGTCAGGTCCTTCTGAAGAGAGCGGTAGTCCCAAAGGGTGACGCCTGCATGGAAGAGATGAAAACAGGGACATGAATTGAACACATTCTTCCAGAACACCTGCAGCTGGATAGAGGAGCTCCAGAGAGGTGGGACAATGGAAACACCCAGGGTTCCCTCATTGGTTCTGTCCGACCGTCGCCAGAGAATCCTCCTTCCCAGTTTCCAAAATACCGCAAACTCCAAAGTAGAGTAGAGAGGCATGGGAATTGCGGTGCACCTATTGATCCCAAGGCAGATCTCCCACTCCCCGGAGGAACCATGTTTTGCTTCCGGGGTGCCCAGGCACCTGCACCCCAACTTGAGAATTCCAACCCTCACTTCACCACCCCGGTTGGGATCTCGCCTCCTTTTTGTCAAATCAATTTCAAAGCCATTTCTCAAATATTTCACTGACTTCGCTTTGGGGGAGGAAATCCACCCCACGTTTGGTAGTCAGTTCCAGGCCCTTTTAACATGCTGGATATGCATTCCGGACCGAAGGTCCCACCCCAGCTAACTTTTATCCGCAGGCGATGTGTCCTGGACAAGACTGGGAGAGAAACCTTGGAGTCCTAGTGGACGATCCCTTAAACGGGAGCCGGCCGTGTGCTACTTCTGGACATGATGACAATTAACCAGTGGAGCTGCTTGTCACCAGATGTTATGGCTGCTCCATCACTGGTGGTTTTTAAGCGGAGACTGAAGAGCCACTTGTCTGAAAAGGTATAGGGCCGTGGTGGCGAACCTATGGCACACGTGCCACAGGTGGCACCCCAGTCCTAGGCCTTCAGCTGGGTTTTATAAAACCTTTTCGCTTTAGGCCTCCGCCGCCGTGTGCAAAAAAAAAAAAAAAGGTTCAATCAATCGGTCAATTTCAACTTCTCGCGGGAAAAAAAAGATCTCGCAAAGTCGGAATTGATTGATTGAACTCTTTAGTCCCACCCAGTCTGCCGTTACTACCGCAGCCATGCCCACCCAATGGGCCGTGCCCACTCAATGGGCCACACCCACCCAATGGGCCATGCCCACCCGGCGCCTGATGATACACAAGTGGGTTTTGGGTTGCAGTTTGGGCACTCCGTCTCTAAAAGGTTCGCCATCACTGGTATAGGGTCTCCTGCTTGAGTAGGGGGTTGGATTAGAAGACCTCCAAGGTCCCTTCCAGGTCGATTCTGATTTTGATTCCGGAGCTAAGTGCTGAAATGTTCCTGGGCTGAGCCTAGGCGTTGATGGCAGTGCCCGTCTACCTCCCTCCAGAGTTTCCCACAAGGGATGCCGATCCACCTCCTTCTCTTCCAGCTCCTACCTGGGATTAGGGTGTCCCTGCGGCAGTCGTACAGCATCCCTAGCTGGAAGGGGCGGCCGAGCGCTGGAATCTCCACGACGTCCTCTGTCCAGGCCATGCTCGTCTCGTGCCTGTTGCTGTTACAAGAGAGAAGAGACT